TGCTTCTGGACCTTCACGCGTCCAACTATTTTCCACATATATGGAAGCCTGACTGACAACGCCGTCGTCAGCAAGTTCATGGTATGCTCGCCAACCAAAAACAGATTCGCCGAGCCAACTACGCCACCATCCAGACCTTATACTACCTGAGGTGGAAAAACGCAGCGTCTGTCTTTTTCCATGGGCTGTGGAAGGAAATATACAAAGGGAACTGTGGTCCAACTTCGGAAGCCAACCAATACTGAATACAGTTGCTGTCAGCTCCAAAGCATGAGTAGCCGACTGGGTGCTACCGTCAGAGTGGTGTTCAATCGAGTCACTTACAGAGGACAAGACTGGTCGTACGATCCGCTTGATGGACAATACGTTTTCAGGTTCGGACATTCTCGTGCTAAGAATGCTTCACCGGTTCCACCTGAAAGGTTTTGCTGAGTATCCCAGCTTGCTGTTTTTATCTGGTGGCTTATCCATCCGCATTTGTGTTGTGTTCCGGTTAGCCTTCATCAGACCAACTGGCACCAATTTCCGTATAGTCCATTCATGTTGGGGCTTTCATAAAATGCGTGCTAATCGATGGAGCTGCAGATCGCAACTTTCTTCACTCCAGTTGTTATTTCTACATCGAGACAGTTGTAAGTCACCTCACTGGTACACGCCCTGCTTCTTCACTCTTCAACGGCTGCTTCTAACCTCATTTTGGCGCATGTTGGTAGCTTGTTTTTCCAGAACGCCTGTTTCCTCGCTTGTCCAGCTCTCGTATAAACTACTGAAGACGAAAGTTGGAAATACTCGGCATGATCATGGTGACCGGGTGACCTGTCGTCCAAACTGTGCTCAACCGCAAAGTTTGATGAATTTTCGGAAATTCTTCTGAGCCAAACATAATGCCTAATGTGGCCATCATAACCAGGTCGCAGGGGAACTCGCAAAGTCACCGTCGTCTGGGATTCATCGTCTTCGAGGAGTTGAGAACACCTACCCCGAAATCCTTTAATGAGCCTACCCTAGTCGCTGTTCGGAAAGGCTGAGCAACCCAAAAAAGTGAGTAATTTCTTGATCAGCGCTGGATGAGTGTGTGAAATGAGAAGAGCAGAAGTACCTCACTGACGATTTTTCCTTTGTTATCGCCTCGGCTCCATGTGTCATTCATAAAGTTGTTGTTTTTTGTTTCACAAACCGAAGACCGTTTCAACCAGGGGTATATGCTTTCCTCAATCACCCAAAACTGTCATTAGACTGAGACTCCTTAGGTCACAGTCAGTGACCTATATTCGCTGAAGCTTTCAACCTCTCTATGTACACCTCTATGAGTCGTACATGGCGTAGAGTGTACATGATTGCCATTGAATTTCACACCTGACCCTGTATGACGAACACTTTATACCTGGTGTGTGATTCTCAACCGTGCTAGCGCTTACCACACCTTGAAGAGCATTGAGAAATGTATGTCCTGTCTTCAGTTACTGTTCTCACGTCTGTTTCCACACCAAACACCCTTACATACTTTGGTGACCGTTTGGCCTGACTGGAAAACTACTGTTGATGCGCCCTATTCATAGTATAAGTGAAGCCAATCTAATAGGAGAAGCAATGTACAGCCGCTTCATCCTGATTAGGACTCATCGACAGTGCGCATCTAAAAAACTCCAGAGTCTCGAACCTTCGACCTCCTGACTAGTAGTTCGAACACACGTTCGGCAACTGGTGGCTGATTAGTAGTGTGATTAAAAGCACGCATCTTTCAGTCACGGAATCCACATCACATAGTCACATGTGACGACCAAATCCTCGAACGATGACGTCTCAGGAGGAAGTTTTACTCATCGGGTGAATTTCACTCCTCCTATGAGGTTTAATATCAGCAATGATGTGAAGCACCCGAGAACTCATGTTGTAAATCCATGAATATTAATTTATTGCGTTCATTCGGTTGGATTCAGGGATCTTGGATTCTAAACAGAGCTACACTGTAGCTTACGGTGACCTACAAAAGTGTGCAGTGCGATTTACTTCTTAAAAATTTCGGCTCCCGTTATTTTGGCTCAGCGACAGCTCTTCAACTGTCGGTCAAACTTTGATATCAATTAACTTTTCTCGCTACTAATAAACAATCAGTAACTGCTCTTTAATGTCAAATGGGGAACTGCTGCCCAGACGGTTGTCTTAGGTCTTGGAATTTTGCGGTGATGAAAGCTAAATTCTGTGATCCCTACATCTTACCAAATGTTTTTTAATGCTCTACGATTCATACTCTCAGACGAGTTAACTCAGGAATGTCGAAGACCGTTTGGCGGGCTTGTTTAGTGCTCCGCCCTGACAAGAGCACTGAAGGGACCGATCAAAGGTGGGCAATCAGAGACAATAAATTAGTCTCTTGCTAAGCGCAATACCACCTATACCACTATGGATATCGCGCTAAGTCATACACATTTTATGGAAGCTGATCCGCCGCACTTCCCTTTAGTGGGTTACCAGCACCACTAACTAACCCGTTGTTCATGTTTCATAACTCATTATCTACACAGAGTTGGGATGGAACAGACAGAGTTGTTGGAACAGACAGAGGAATAACTTTTCGCTTCCATCAGTTTTGACTGAGCCTTTTATAAGGGTTTTTAGGCTCACTTTTCCCCCGCATCAAACTCTATATAAGCTGACTACACATTTTCAAAAAATGAAAATGATACTCTGAAATAATGTACGTCATTAGTAGGATCAGAACACCAAATTAGTTATACGGTCTGCTCAAATTCCAACGATATGCAACTCTGACACACATACACCTCACTTCCTAGTTAGCTTTCTGCGACTTGCCTTTCTGCATAATCTGGTGTTCTAGCTTTTTATCTACTTTGCATACATATGCCATCACCCTTTGATGGGTACTCAGAAGTTGTCGTTGGGTTAGTTGGCCGATTTTACATAAAATATTGGAAAAGTCATTCCGAAAACTCATACTGTTCTCAGCGAAAACATAAAGACATGAAGGGTGGCTTGACCATGGTATATTTGGGCGATGTTGCAGAAAATCGATGGTTCTTATGCGGTTCGCTGGGTTTGCCAGATAGATGGCAAACGTTTTGACGAAACACTGTCCATGCGGAATCGGGTGGGCCTACTGTTTCTCTATACTATGAAAAACTGTAACCAGATTGTTCATTGCCCCTTCGAGCCGTTCTCTTAGGAAGGGGAGGAAACGGTTGGATGATTTTCTAATCATACTTCTGATCATACATTTGTAACTCGTCAAGATAGCCATTCTTTCCGCCACCCTTTTATCCTGCTGAGAGTCCAAACAAACATTTAACATGCAGTGGGCTCTGATCATCTCTTGGTGGTGGTCTGTTCATGACATAATCCTGACAGGCCAACTTGGAAACGATACCTACTTAGGGATACATTCCAGAGGATCAAACTGAATACTACTTTACTAATCCCTACATTTGATGATTATTCAAAGTCTGCTGAATATAAACCATGTCACAAGCCAGATGTACGTCATTACAACTTGCATTCTGAAAAATTGATGCTTTGCTTCGTACCAAACGGAAACCGTTTGCAGTATACCTGTGCAAACTGACAGTACCGGTCAAAAGAGGTCCCCTTAGCAATTTGGATGCTGTAATGTTGGCCCGACTTTTTTGCAGACTAAACTACAGTTTCTCGTTCCCTTGTAATGGTCATTTGGACGGACCGATTGGCCGTTTCGCCCTGGGGTAGTTTGGTCCTTAGGGATATGGCAGTTTTAAAAAGCTCAAAGAGACCGACTAGATGTGGTTACTGTTGAGAAAGCACCCCTGAGAGGATAACCCTAGTTATTTTTACTACGTAGTTACTTTGATAGCTTGCTAAAGTGCGGTGAGTAACCGGCACAAAACTGGGTACTATTAAGATTTATACTGACGATTTGCTGTATGGTTGAAGAACTTGCGTAACATACTCAGTTTCTAGTTCTTAACGGATTAGCAGGCCTTCAACCTTGCTTTTTTCGCATTCTGTGCCCAGTAAATCTGACTGAACCAGAGTGTTTCAACGTAGACCGACGGGTTTAAACACAGACATGTTGGCTGTGTTCGTGATTACTCGGTTGAGAATCAGCCCCATCACTATTTGATCACAACCACAACTTATTCGATGCACCATGAGACGCCATTGCACTTGTGTTAGCTTAACCGGGAAGTGGAGCAGTGGACGAGATATGAAAAAGTGACAATATTTTGAAAATCACCTTGATAGTTATAGTAGACTCAACTGAATATTCGCAGTCACTAATCCTCAACTAAATATGCCACACATAAGTTTCAGCTAGAACGACTCACAACAAAACGTATAAGGTTGCTGAAAGTCCCCTAACAGCCAAACACCAGTTTCACCCACCTTGTGGCTCACCAGGTATACGTAGTCCACAAGTTCTCATTGGCCTTATTTCTATTCGAACACTAACTGGTGGCTAAGTTGAGTCAAATATTCATTTTCCCAATTTATAGTAATATTAGGGACAGACTCAGCTGAATCTCTTGGTTATAGTTTGCAAATGAGCGTAGAAGTGTACTTAGGTACAAAGTGAAAGTATAAACTGATGGAGAAAGAGATCCTACCTATCTGACTTGCACCGAGAAAGACGACTAGGTGGCCGGCCATAAAACAGTTTCAGTCAACCTTATAAGTGACGTTGTTTCAAGAGATGCCTGGAAGTTGTGTGGCTGACTTCTGTACCAGGCAATCGAAAGCGTTTTTCTAGCTGCATCATCCGGGAACACAATGGCTTGCTGAGCTCCAGGATGAATGTCAACCGTGAACCGTCGTCCGCAGGCCGACCGATCCGAAAGAAATTTTGTTTTTAGTCACGCTACTGGTAAGAAGATAAGTAGGTTAATGGATGGTGCAAAGTGTGGCATCCCTCTTCTCAGCCAATCGCAAGCTAGTTTTAGTCAACCAATCAGCAAGCGAGAGGCAACCCTTTTAAGGGCAAGCTGGTCTCCGCCTTCAGTTGGTCAGTAGATCGCTCCTCACCACTTTCGTTCCATGGCTCTCGCTCCCGGGTTTATCGGCCCAATTCATGTATGCAGACGTCTGTTTGGGGAAGTTAATCCCACGTGCGTACAACAGGCACTTGAGACAATGATTCTAAAAGACACTGAAAGATTCACTAAGATATGGAATTTCCCTCCCTTTTCGAACACCTCAGAAGAACGCCAACCACTATCAGTGTTAAATGCGACACAACCAGGATCTGACACAAGACGTGGAGAAACTGTTAGTTCAACTCGGAACGGATGGAGACTGGTTCACCCAGAGGCTTCGTTCTACATTACACCCCCGCGAAGGTTGAAAGCACGTCGCCGTTTGACACCATCAGTAGCAGAAAAAACCAAATATGAGGTTATGCAGAAGACAGTATCCAGGAACCTTGAAGACGTTTTCCACACCAGCAAGAACCAAATCTTGCTTCAACTGGCGAAAGACACAAAGTCAATCGAAACTCAATTCGCTGATCTACTCCACTCATTCCGAGACCAGGCAAAAATGGAAGAGCCAACATTAACATCAGATCCCGAAACTCCCGGGGAAGGATGTCTCACCAAGCCACCAGTTGCAGAAATAGTAGACCAATTCAAACCACCCTTGATCAGCACACCAGAAGCATCCACCCATCCATGTGCTAGTATTCAGAACCACCGACTGATCATAGCGCGCCCTGCTCGATTTTCGGAACAGACAGCGAAGCGAAAAATCAATGCCAGAGTTACTGGTGAGTTTATATTATTTTACCTCCACTCCTCAAGGCGGATAGTTTTGTATCCTCTAGTACAGATTCAGCTTGTACTGTTGTCTGTGACTGATTTTAAACTGGTACTATGAAGAACAACTACAGTTAAGATTTTTTAAAGCGTTTAGGAGTCCCGTTTGATTGCGATTGCCGTACCATTAGTCATATGAAATGTGGATACAGAATTTCAAGCCCCCTCTCCAGTCTGATGATCATAAGCCAGTCCGTCTACAGGCACACTGTGTCCAAAACACGTATTCTCGAAACCTCTGAGTTAGCTCGTTCCAGTCTGTCTATCCTTGAGATGTTTCCAGTTCAATAGAATAATCCTCCAAAAGGAGATGACCACAGGGGAAATGCGTAGCTTGGCTCTCTTGGTAACGTTCGTGACTAACGAAGGAGCTTTGAGAAAGGCCTCTCTGTGGAGGGGTCATTCAGCTAACACGTGCTTTCTTCCAGCTCGTTCGGCTTACGAGTGGACTAAGATTAGTCATTTTCACACATATTTGTTGTTAGGTTTAATCAACACTAATGTTAATCTTCCATCCACTTTGCACCAAACTCCTCGATCTGGTCAAAAATTCAACCAACAGCCATTTCGGGTCTTTTTGTTAACAACCCGAAGCCCGGAATTACGGTCCTGTAGATAAACGACTTTGTGCTTACATATGGAAAAGATAAACTTTATTTTCAAGCCCCATTCAAAAAAACTTCCTTCACTATATACATTTGTAGTCTCTTTTGTTGCCCTCTTTGTAGGTGGGTCTATTAAGAAGGAAGCTCTTTTAGTGAAAAAAAATTTAATCACTTTTAGCTGAGCTTTTGAAACGGCACTTTTCTTAATCAGGCCAACGCAGAACCGCTTCTGATTGGTATCTGTCTGTTCTGGGCGAGCTACTGTATCTGGATAATCTTCGTTTTTTCAACTGACATGGTTTGGACAGCATTACACAGAGAAGTAGATGCCATCAAAAATGGGACGTTTCTTTAACTTCATATTGTGTTTCCTGTGAAAGTCGTACCCTCCTATATTTCAATGTGACTTACTACCCAGCATACCGCTTGCTCCTCGGAGGAAATCTAATTTTGGAGGTACATTGCGATCTTTCTTTCGAACCGCTAGTCGCATACCTCTCCGTTGCACAATGCCTTTGGGACAATTTTTCTCTGAACACAAGGGATCTTCAGCTGCCCAGCTCACTAACTTGTTCAGTCATAAAATATGATCATACAACTGAACTAGTGACTTGCCCAAATCTATGTGTATATTTCACTTAAACGACTTTGTTATTTACTTTTTCTAGACTACTTTGCTGTCAACAAACGCCCGCGACATTCTTTGAAATAACCCAAGAAATCGTTAAAGGTACGTGCATACTGTTACTTCATTACCTCACCACTAAAACGATTCCACGGGAGACTAAATGACCAAGCCTATCACGCTGATAGAAAACAAAAATTGGAGTTGCCTTCCGTCGCCATTTCTAGTTAAACCATAATCCAGTTTGAAACAGAAGCGATAAAATTATACCAACTGCTTCTTTGTATGTTTATTGTGGGATATAGTGGGAATTCGTTCGGCCACTAGAGCCTAGATAAATTACTTAGGCGTATTCTTGACCTATTTTGAGAATTGAGCGCCCAGACCAATGTAAGCTTGACGATCCCGGATACTTCCTTGGTATTTTTTCGCGCTTTTCTTGCTGCATAGTACAATCTATGTTTGAAGATCTTGATAGTTCACGACTAGGCTCACACTTCATCTTTGGCGAGCTAGTCAATACGGCTTCTATAAAATGGTGAGAATGGGTTGGCGCCGTATGTGGCGTTGCTGGCCGTGAAGTTGGATGACTACCATCAATTACAGTGTGAATGACTGCGTCTAACCTCCAACCTAGGATAGATAACTCACTCTGTCTATTTCCACCGGTTATTTGCCATCTGCAGAAGTTCAACACAGCCAAACGTCCCCAACAGAGTGGGTCCCCAACAGAAAGGGTCAGATGAAAGTTACACGGAGAGAGCGTGATAGTATACTAGCAGTGTAGTAGTGTAGTAAATTAGTGAAGACGCTTAATCACCGTTTGGTATTCCGACCTTGGGCTCTACGCCTTTGTTTTTTCCTTACGCATCTCAGTAGTCCGGTTACATAAATAACTGCCTCTATGGAGCGTTCAGTGTACTGGTCCTCATTTATGTAATTGTCACAGAATCACAAGATGTCTAATCTCTTTGCTGACATCCAACTCCACAGGGATGACAATGTTCATGACATAAATGCCCATCTGTCGTGTGCGAATGCCTAGCATTGCTTTGTGATTCTATCCCTTCTAGTGACTGAAAGAGCCGCATGAGTAACTCAACGCGTTCCTGAAACTCAGTTTCCTCATCAGCTTCGCTCACTGTTGAGATATATTCGTGGTCCCTTCGGCTTACGGCGGTCGATGGCACTAAAATCAAACTGTTTCAACCGTCAATTTCAGAAAGAAATTTACACAAATAGATGTTCCGACCATTTCGTCGCGCTCATTTTTCACTAGTTTTATTCATATTGTGACTAAAATAGGAATTAGTGCTCATCACGAACAGGTTCGCCGATGAGAAAGGATCAGATAATATGTTGACGGACTTGTAGCAGTCAATTGGGAGGTTCATGTAAATGTTGTTGCAGGATGCACAGTTGGGGAGAAGGCTAGTGATCTCCGGTAAGCGCATTTTCACGTACACTGTCTCTCCACGAATGGGTCATTAATCATGCAAGAGTTGCTTTGACGTTCAGCTTTGGTCTACCAACCCCTGAGCCCAAGATCTGCACAGGTAGATGCATAAATTATCGCACTCACTCAGAGGTCATCCACAGGACTGCATGGTTGTTTTCATCTGTAGATAATGCCTTGGCTGACTGAGCATATGACGCTTTGTCTCACACTGTCAATGTGTACATTACCGTCGATCACGCACTCATCGGTGAGTTCCTGGCCTTTTAACTCTGATACAGCATACCGTTTTACATTCAATCGAACTGCTAGAACCTATTACTCTGTGCATTCATATTGATGGCTACATGTTGTCGGAAGCGCACAGGAATTTGGGAAACACAATTCCCAACGGTTCTGACAATGGTAGGCCAAACCTACGGTCGGTATGGTGCTCCAGTTCGCTGCCATGTAGACTATGATACTTTGGTTTTTTTCTACTTTTCCTTGTCTCCAGAGTAGACCAAAGTTTGTTAGGCACGGACTGGCACTCGCAACAGTGTGTCGCACGTGTACTCTGACTCATTCCTCTCCCAAACCTTTGTGTGGTGCCTCGTAAGCCCCCGATATAGACTGGTAATAAACCCGTCTGGGCGCGTACGTAGAGAACGAGGTTTACTCCCATTCTTTCTCCCTCACGTGCCGTATTTCCCAGGCCATGTGAAACAAAGCGCCCGTGTCATCGGTATTTGCTTCGCATTCTCCCCCCCCCCTCTCCCCACCCCCCTCACGCCATAT